ACCATGTTGCAGTATAAAAAACATCAAACATAAATAGTAACAAAAATAAAACACAAAAACATAAAAGAATAAAAACATAAAAGAACCCCAAGACAGCAAGGGAACAACCATCATTTAGCCTCATACAACCACTTTGCAAGCTCACCATGGGATCCCCAGGGATGATGGAAGAACCATGTTTTCAAGGCTTTCTGAAAGGCTAAGAGAGATGGGGCTAACCTCACTTCAGGGGGAATGATGTTTCAGAGGGCAGGGGCTATAGCAGAAAAGGCATATCTTCTGAGCCCCCCCAGATGGAACTCCTTAGCAGACGGGACCCAGAGCATACCTCTGTGCCGGACCTGATGGGATGGGTAGATGTAACCGGGAAGAGACAGTCCCTCAAATAACCTGGCCCCATATCATGTAGGGCTTTAAAGGTCAAAGCCACACCTTGAATTGCACCCAAAAGAAAACCGACAACTGATGCAGTTTGTGAACCAGAGGTGTAACGTGTATCATCCTATAGGCACACATAACTGTCCATGCAGCTGCATTCTGCACCAGCTGAGGCTTCTGGATGATCTTCAAGGGCACCCCCATGTAGAGTGTGTTATAGTAATCTATTTTGGAGGTGACCAGGTCATGAGTGACAGTAAGTAGAGCCTCATGGTTTAGGAAGGGGTGCAGCTGGCGCAAAACATAAAGCTGTGCAAAGGCCTTCCAAGCCATGACTGCCACCTGCTCTTCAAGCAGGAGTTGAGAGTCTAGAAGGACCTTCAGGTTGCATTCTGGGTTTGTCTGGATAGTGTGATCCCATCCAGTACCAAAGATGGTAAATTCCCAGATCCAGAAGGCCCCGAAACCTAGAACCACTCAGTCTTGCCAGGGTTCAGCTGAAGCCTGTTGTTCCCCATCCAGACTCCCGCAGCCTCCAGGCACCAGGACAAGACATCAATGCTTGTTTCGCCAGGGGCAGAGATATAACTGGGTATCATCGGCATACTAATGATACCTCACCCCATGGTGATGAATGATCTCATCTAGCAGCTTCATGTAGATGTTAAATAGGAGTGGAGAGAGTACTGAACCCTGTGGGACCCCACATAATAGGGGTCAGGTGTGGGACCTTTCACTCTCAATTAACACCAACTAGTATCAGCCCCATAGAAAGGAAGCAAACCAATGCAGTATTCCCACTTTCCTTTTCTTCCATGTGTATTTTTCCCAAGATGTACACAGTCAAAAAATGTCCTGTCCCACATTTATAACCTTGCATTGTCCATGTGTTCTTCCCTAATTCTCTGTCTTTCATCACAAACAATCATGCTTTGAGATTTATATTCATTCTTTTGCCATGTAGTATGGCAAAGAATAAACTAAAACTATATATTCAAAACAAACAGAACTTTTTCTAAGCAGATACATGCCAAACCGTCACACTCTCATTCATTCTTTTTCTTGGGTCTCAAAATGGCCTAATCCTTTTTTCTATACTCTGTAATCTCATTCCCCTCCCATCCATTCATGTCACCTAGCAGAATAATTATTTCCCTTGGATCATCTTCATTCAGAATGTTCAGAAATTTTCTCCAAGCTTATTCCTGGTTTTTCCAGTCATTGGAGGATAACACACATCTCAACAGCCTGTGGATTTCTGTTTTCATGTGCATCTGCATGAACCTAGAGGATCCCAATTCATAAATTCAAGCATAAATTTTCACTCCTTTTTCATAATTGAACCTATACATTTACTGGAATTATGTCACCAAGAGATGTGGCAATAAACCGATATCACTGGAAGGGAAGCAGGTTGTATTTGGGGGAGCGGAGTGGGGTGGGACAGTCTTAAAACAAGAAAAGGCATGAACACTTAAAGTTGGATCTGGAACTTTGCCTTTGGATTGTTTATCCCTGAGTGTACTATGCATTGCATATGACCTCCAAATCTCAGAGCATGTGTATATGCACACACATACACAGGGAGAGAGAAAGAGAGTAGTAACTTCAATGAGTGAAGATTCAATTTTTTTTAAAAGGAAGTATCAACTGACTGTTATTCATTCAATTCATTTCATTCATTCATTCATTCATTCATTCATTCCTGCCTTTCTACTCTAGTCAGGTCTTAAAGTGACTAATTGGATGAAAAAAAGTTGATGTTTTGATGAACAAACATCAAAAGTTAAATATATAAATTACTAGGCAACCCTGTGACCCATTGGGTCATTCTTTGACAGAAAGGTAGTGCAGTCTGATG